GTGCCCGCCCCACGAGCGTGAGTTGCGATGCCCCCCAATATTTCTCCTCATGGGATTAAATTAATTTTGGTAGATCCCTTGCTGTTTGACCGAACTGGAGTAGTGGCGCGTCGCCTTCCTCTATTTACGCGTTGAGATCGTCCACCTCGGAACCCACCTTCATGGGGATCTCGTTCTCGGAGTGGTTTGGCGCCGGGGTGACGTCCTCGCTGTTGCTCCCCTGAGGCTCCAGGGACTCCGCGTCGCCGCTGTCGCTCTTGTTACCCGTCTTCTCACCGTCGTCGGCGCTCGCCGACTCTGGCGCCTCGGAGGGGTGCACGTCGATGACGCGGATGTGGAGCTCGGCGCCGTCGTCGTCGCCGCTGATGACGGTCTCGTTGACGGTGATGACGTGGCCGTCGATGACCTGCGGGTGGACCACGCGACGCCAGTTTACCGACGGGGGCGGCGGCGGGGGCAGCAGCGGCCCGCTCAGCGGGAAGTGTCGGGGCGGCAGGACACCGGGCAGCAGGCCGGGCAACAGGGCGCCAGCAGGTGAAGCAGGCGAAGCAGGCCAGCGGGCAGCAGGAGGAGAGAACCTGTGCGCGAACTGAATCGAGTCCGGCCAGACATGCGGAAGGGAAGCATGGAAGCGTCAGAGAGAGAGAGAGCGTTAGTTGTTCCAAGGCGCGAGCGCAAAGAGTAAAAGGCCAGAGGTTAAAGCTGGTATGGAAGAGCTCGAAATGGACAGCAATTAATTGTAAGCACCGGGCACTCATCGAACGATGTGCCATCAGGCAGTGACAGCAAGGAAAATGAAACAGCAATGTTTTCAGCAGATGTTTGAGTCGCAGAAACATGTCAGAGCACAGACGGAAAGCTTTCGAGTGGCTGCGGGCGGAGTCACAAAAGCGCAACAGAGGGTGGAAAAAGTTTCCACAAAGCATTTGAATGAGCCGCTGCTGTCCCTACGACGATAAACTAACAAAGGGTCTATCCTCTTAATCTACACTCGACAACAGGTTATTTTTCTTTTTGTAAAAGTCTGTCATCTCAACGGCTTCCTGTAAAATGTGACTCTGGTAGGTACTGAGGGTACTGAAGTCACTAGATTAAATACCTTGGTGGTGGACGTGGTGTTGCCGAGCTTGGAGAAGTCGGGAGAGTCGTCCCTGCTGGAGCCACCTCCGCGGCTTAGCACTTCGGTCATCTGGCGGCGCATAACAGCCATCATTTCTGCAAAAACCAAAGTTGTTGGTTTTTCATCGTTTTTTTCTTTCTTTAATAATTAATTGTATTAAATGAAAACTGTGAGAGACAGGCAGAGGTTGCACTAACCAGCCATTTGGGCCATGAAGTTATTCATGGGGTCGCTGAAGAAAGGGGTGATGAAGCCACCCTCTTCGGACGAAGCCTCGTCGGAGTCGGCGCGGGTCAGGACGGGGTGCAGGGCCAGGGGCCTGACCAGGATGGGGCGCCCGCCGAAGCCGCCGCCGAAACCGCCGCCGATGCGCCTGACCGGGATGCCGAAGGCGAAGGGGATGTCCCCGGTGCTCTCGTCACTGGCGTCGCTCTCGACGGGCACGACGACGCCGCCGCGCGAGCCGCCTCGCGAGCCGCCCCTGCTCACGGGCTCCACCACCTCCACGTCGCGGTCCGGGTTGGACTCCTGGGCCGCGCGGCGACCGAACGAGGCTGGAACAAGCACAGCGGCGGAAAGGGTTGCGGGTGAGACAGGCGCTGGAAGTTTGATGATTTATTAGTTGTTTGGCAACCGTCCAGCCGATGAGAAAGCTAAAGGCTTCTCGCCGCCGCTGCCGCGCCAGCTCCGACTTGGCACCGCGGCGAGTTATTGTATACACAGATGCACCGGTATGTGAGGTGAGGGTGCCGAGCAGGCGCTTTAGTCATGCTGGGCACGACAGTGCGCGCCTGCGACGCGCCGCTGCAAGTAAGGTGTGTTGTAGTCGCACACGAGGCAGACTAGAGACGCCTCTATGGGTTTGAAATAAGTAAATTCTTCCTACTCATGAAAAATACCAGGTGGCTGATTAACCCCGCGCACTTCCGTGGCTAGACTGTATCGCACGCACGAGTGCGGGCGGGCTTGCCTATCGCCCCTGTCCACGGCGCCTTACGGGCCGGGCGAGTAGGCAACCCGCCCGCACTCGTGCGTGCGGTACAGTCTAGCCACAGAAGTGCGCGGGGATAATCAGCCACCTGGTATGTTGTTTTACTTCTCACGCGTGCATCGTACTTTTCGTCGCGACTATACTCCAGCAGCTCGCGGCCGCCGATGACGCCAGGCTATAATAGTTATGGTGCGGTAAACACGATCACGGCTCGTTTATTCCCGGCCGTGTCGGCCATTCTCGGAAAACGACCACAAGTGATGCGGCGGGGTGTTGTCGGGCGGGAGCGACAGGTGAGAGCGGGTGGGAGGGCGGAGATGCTATTGCTACTGACATACCCAGAGAGGAGCCATCAGCAGCTCGAGGGCGAGCCTGCTTCGCCACCATCACCAGCACCAGGAAGTTGAGTTACGTGGCCGCTCCTGTGACCTGGCACAGAGCACCGACCAGGAGCATTCTTTGCCCGCTCAAGCCGAGCGCGCGGGTCATGCCGTTTGGAGCCGCGGCGGCCGGCGGCGCTTCCTCCTGCAGCAGCAGCAGCAGCAGCAGCAGCAGCAGCAGCAGCCCGCGCTGCGACACCCCGGACGGGCGGGCGGCGCGCTGCT